CGGGGGGATCCTCACAGCCCATCCCTGTGTTCCCCCTCATCCCTGTGTCCCCCCCCCATTAACTGGGGGTCATCCCCCCATCCCCTGGGGGTGCCCCCCTTTCCCCGTCCCCCCCCACACCCCTCAGGAGTCCCCCCCACTCACCTGTGCCAGCCTGGGGGGGCTGCGCCGCCCCCTGTCCCCCGTGTCCACCATGGGGGGGGAGGCTCTGGAACAACAGAGACCCCGGGGAGACCCTACAATAACACCACAGCCCCCCCAAAGCAGCCGCAGCCCTGGGCGGGGACCCCCCGACAGCTTTTCGGGGGGGCAGGTGGGGAAGGTCCGGCCCCCCGGGGACCCCCTGCCCACCCTGGGGGTTCCCAGCCGCCTGTTTTTGGGGTCCCCTGCCCACCCGGGGGGGTCCCTGCCTCCCTGTCCCCCCTCACCTGTCCCGGTCCGGGCTCTGCCGGTGCCGCCCCCGCCGCGGGCACGGCACGGACCCGCGAGTGGCACCTCCGCGCTCCCCCCGGGCCGGTCCCACGGGGGGGACACGGGGACACAGAGCCCGCCCTCCCCCTCCCCAACCCCCGCCCGCCCCCCCGGGCATCGCCCGGGCGGGGCCCTTCGGCTCCAGCGGCTCCCGGGCCACCCCCGCCCTGCCCGGGGGGCACCGGGGCCTCGGGGCACCCCAGGGTGTCACCTCTGCCCTCACCCGGGGGACACGGGGGGCTCGGGGCACCCCGGATTTTTGTGGCACCTCAGGGTGTCACCTTTGCCTTTGTCCGCGGGACTCGGGTGTCCCAGGACACCCCAGAATTCGGGTGTCACCCCCAGTGTCACCTCCTGTCTTCACCCGGGGGACTCAGGTGTCTCAGGGCACCCTGGAATTCGGGTGCCACCCCTGGGTGTCACCCCCGCCCGAGGGGACACAGGTTTCAGGGCACCCCGGAATTTGGGTGTCACCTCCCGCCCTCGCCCAGGGGTGGGAGAAGCGGTGATGTCACGGTGTGGGGGTGACGTCACGGGGAGGGGAGGGTACGGCGACACCACGTGAGTGACACAGGGGAGGGGCCAGGGGGGGCAAGGGGGTCGGGGGGGGGTCACACAAGGGGTGTCCCTGGTGGGAGCAACACGAGGGACATTGGTGACATGGGATGACACGGAGTGACACAAGGTGACACGGGGTGACACGGGGTGACACAGGGTGACATGGGGGTGACACAAATGGACTCAGGTCGGCCTACACGGGTCAACACAGAGCAGAGCAGAGTCACGGGGGCCAACGTGGGTCAACACGGAACAGCACGGACTGACATGGGCCAACATGGGTCACTATGGATTGACACGGGCCAACATGGGTCACTATGGATTGACATGGGCCAACGTGGGTCACTATGGATTGACACGGGCCAACGTGGGTCACTATGGATTGACACGGGCCAACG